ACGTTGGCCACAAGGCCGGCCTTGGGAAGATCTGGGTCTGGACCAGAAAGTGTGGCAGCAACGTATGGAGCAGGGGCAGTGCATTTACTGTGGTGACCTTGCCCATATTATGAAATATTGTCCTAAGTATAGACAGGCCCAATGGGCTGCCCATGAGTCAAAAGGCAGCTGCCGGTAGGGGTAGCAACTGCCCCTACTATTAGGCCATGTGGGGAAGCGAGCGCGCGCGTACAAGAAACTCCCACACCACATAAGCCTTCGGCAGAGGTTGCAGGCCCGTGCCTAGTTAGCTGTCCAAAGACTGCTTGTGTTAGCGTATCTCTAGGCACTTCCCTCACAGGCGTGGCAGAAGAGTTGAAGGAGAGGATGCCAGCCTGGGCCAAAATGAAGAAAGATAGTAAGGGACAACTAGTGTTAGTTGATGTATAAGTTTTTAGAAGTAGAGTAGGGACCCTTAGAGACTCAGGGGCCACCCGCAGTTACATTAGCCGTAAAGCGCTGAAGTAGCTGAGGCTAGAGTTGAAAGTCCAAAAGTTGGAAGACCCCATAGTTAGTGTCCTCGCAGACAACCGCACGATGCGCGTTGAGGACTAAGTAGAGGGAGTCCAGGCGTATTTTCGTCTAGAGAAAGATGGGAAGGTGGAGAAAGTTCTCCATTCCCTGACTCTCCTCGTACGGGATGACCTTCCTTTTGATAGAGTCCTAGGCATAAACTGGGGAGAGGCAGCAGGCCACACTCCACTTGAGAGAGCATGAGTGCAGGCTCTCTAGTCCGTCAGGCGAGGTTAAGACTGCCCGCCTGTTTCATGTGTCTAAAGTAGATAACTCCTTGGCACATTGCTGTCTCAGTGCTCCCACGTTCCCGCGACTAGTGAGAAAGGAGCAGTTAGAGGAGCAGGTCTTCGTGGCGTATGTCAGACCTGTTACTGAGCCTAAGGAAGAGGATAGTCCCATGGATCCAGCCATTGCCAAGCTGCTGGAAGAATTTAAAGATTTGACAGAACCGCCGACAGGAGTAGTGCCGCAGCTGATCCAACATAGAATAGAGATAGAGCCTGACAGTTGAACTCCTAAGGGAGCAATTTACAGAATGTCCCCCAGGGAGTTAGAGGAGTTGCGCAAGCAGTTAGACAAACTCCTTGAAAAAGGTTGGATTAGGCCCAGTTCATCTCCTTTTGGAGCACCAGCTTTGTTTGTCCCCAAGAAGGAAGGAGAATTGCGTATGTGTATAGACTATAGGGGTCTAAATGCAATCACAGTCAAGAACGCTGAACCACTCCCCAAGAGAGACGATCTCTTAGATCGGGTGCAGGGTTGCAGATATTTTTCGAAGATCGATTTAAAGTCCGGATACCATCAGATAGAAGTCCATCCTGATGATCAGTATAAGACTGCGTTCCGGTTAGATAGACTTGTCAGATAGAAGTCCCTTTGGACCGACCAACGCGCCTGCTACATTCCAGCGCTGTATGAATGATCTGTTTAGGTCGTGGTTAGATAGACTTGTCGTAGTGTATCTAGACGACATCTTAGTCTTCAGTAGGACCCTCCAAGAGCACCAGGGTCATTTGAGGCAGGTCTTGGAGAAGCTGAGAAAGGCTAACTTCAAGATCAACGCGAAGAAGTGCGAGTGGGCCAAGGCACAGGTTTTGTACTTGGGCCAGGTGTTAGAGGGAGATGGCATTAAGCCTGAGGACAGTAAGATAGCGGCGATTAGAGATTGGCCGATGCCCTGAACGTTGACTTAGTTGCGATCGTTCCTAGGCTTAGCTAACTACTATAGGAAGTTCGTGAGGAACTTCTCGACTATCGCCGCTCCCCTTCACAGGTTGCTCAAGAAAGAGGCAATCTGGCAATGGGATAAAGATTGTACGTTTGCGCTAAAGAAGTTGAAGCGCGCGTTAATAGAGTATCATGTCCTCAAAGTAGCAGATCCGTCCTTGCCATTTGTCGTCACCACGGACGCGAGTGAGTATGGTATAGGCACCGTGTTACAGCAGGACGACGGCAATGGTTACAGACCCGTAGAGTTCATGTCAGCGAGGATGCCCTCATAGAAGGTCGCTACCTCGACGTATGAGAGGGAACTCTACGCTCTCAGACAAGCCTTAGAGCACTGGAAGCATTACTTGCTTGGGAGGGACTTCAAGGTGTATTCAGAGACACTTAGATGGCTGAAGACACAGGCCAAAATGACACCTAATTGACTAGGTGGGCCGCTGAGATAGACCAATACGACTTTGAGCTCAAGCCTGTTAAAGGCAAGTACAATGTGGTTGCGGATGCTCTAAGTAGAAGATCAGACTACTTTGGAGCTATAGTTCACTATCTGGATATAGGGAGTGACCTGCAGGAGAAAGTTAGACAGGCGTATGCGCAGGACCCTATTTACAGTGACCTCCTTCAAGAGAGCTAAGGAGGCCCCAAAGACCGAACCAGACTACCGCACTACAGAGGGACTGTTGTTTGAGGAGACTAATGTAGTAGACCGCCTGTGCGTCCCTAACAACGAGGAGATTCGTAGTTTGATCCTAAGGGAATGCCACGACACAGAGGAACATTTCGGTTGGTAAAAGACTCTAGCCAATCTGATGTATGCGTATACCTGACCAGGAATGAAAGCTGACTGCATAGAGTATGTCCGCAGTTGCTAAGTATGCCAGAGAAACAAGAGTACTACGCGAACCCCTCTTGGTCTTCTTAGACCCTTGCCTATTCCAAGCCAACCGGGAGACTCAGTTGCCTATTCCATTGACTTTCTGGATACCCAAGTCAAGAGTAGGCACGACAAGAGCCAAGTCATGGTGTTACATGCTGCGCGTGCACACGCTGGCCATTTTGCAGGCCCGACGTCCTTCTGGCCAAAAGCCTGAATTTCAGGCCGAAAGCCTGAAATCCAAGGCTTACAGGACCCATGTCGGATCAGGCTGAAAGCCTGAATTCCAGGGCCACAGCCCCTATGTCATTTCAGACTAAAAACGGCATCAGCCTTTTTAACCTGAAACAAAGGGCCATTTTCGGTCGTTCATCAGAACGACCGGCCTTGAAACTCAGGCACCGAACCAGGGTTTCGGAACAGACTATTATCAGCCTGTTCCCCACGCCAACCTCAGCAGGCTGCTGCACGCCAGCCCCTGGCACACTTCGGCATTGGCAAGAGCTGCCTCCTCGGCCTGGCTCGCCCTTCAGCAGTCAGGAGGCAGGCCGAGGTAATACATAGGACTTACCAGGCACTTCCCAAGCAGGCAGTCGGCAGTTGTAGCCTTCAGGATTCGGGAGCAGCACTCTGGAGGGAGCGCTGTAGAGTAGTAGTAGCGTTAGCTTGTAGTCTTCAGCGCTGGGTGCAGTAGGTAGCTGTAGTCTCCAGCGCTGGGCGCCATAGCTAGATAGTACTAGAGAGAGAGAGAGAGATTGGGCGGAGGCCAGAGGTACTGCAGCGCCGTTGCTCCAGCTTCGTCTTCGAGGTACCTGCAGCACAGCGCCAATATCACAGGTCAGTATCTGGCTCGTAACAGTGAGAGAGAGAGAGAGTTCTTATTCTTCCTCTTCTCAGTCCACCATCTCCTTCTACCCCTCTCACATCTGACTTCACTGCATCTGCAGACTACGAGAGAAGAGAGACAGAGCTTGGTGACATTGGATCCAGACTCGACTTTTGGGGACTTCAAACATGGCAACGAGGGATTATTTGGGATTGGTGACAAAGACTTGGTGTTGACGACATTCCCATCTCTCTCCCTCCTTTYGTTTGATCCCTTCCTCTTCGTCTGTGTATRTCTGGACCTGGCGCTTTCTTCCTGTGTACAGCGCCAKGCTCCTTCACACCTGGTGATGGCTACGATGTATGTTTGGTCCGAGTTCAAACATTGATTGGACTAGTTATCAGTATTCTAAGCATTCTGCTTCGCTACTTTATACTACGTGAGTGAGGTCAGTCCCGGTCAKGTCAGTCTTTGTATCTAAGTCTTCCCTGCGCTATTCAGCACCTTTTGTATGTATGAGAATGCACATTGTTTGTCGAGATTCTACTCGCACTGCATTGTCCATTTTGTCCTTTGCATCACATTGCAGATCCTCGATTATTACGTACATCACGTATCTGTGCATGTAACAGTTGGTATCGGAGCTTTGCACGTGAATCAGGACAACCTGATCTGACACGTGTGCGGGGACTAATTAGCTGGTTAGTCTTTATTGATTGATTAGAACACAATAGTTAGACCCCAAAATCACGATTTTGACCTCACTACCGAAAATCGATTTTTTTTTTCTTTTCTTGGATTTTATTTTCTCGCTGTTCTGTTCTGGAAAATTGTAATATTGCAACATCTGAAATTCCCATTTTCGTTTTTCTTCTGAAAATTCGAAATTTCGCTGTTGAAAATCCAGAATATTTTTCTTTTTGAAAATTTCGATTTCCTGTTGCATTTCCCGTTACTTAGAAATTCGGAATATTTTCTTTTCTGAAATTCGTTTTCCTGAAAACGGTACGGGAAATCCCTCCTGCGGTATTATTCTTCAAACTACGAATATTCTCATCGGAATAAATCCGAATACTTGTCATTTCTGTTCGGAATTTTTCGCAGTTCTCGGATTCTGTCGTTCAGTTCTATAAATCATTGGCAGTCTAAATTCGAATTTTTTTTCTCTTTAAGTGATCATTTCGCACTTCAAGGGAGGTTGGGAGACCTACCAAACTTGCAAAAATCGGGATTTTTATTTTTCTCAAAAGTTTTTTTGCAAAGTTCAAACTTTTCTTGTTTGATTAGTGGCTCCTTATCTACGTGATTAGTTGGGCGATTATCCCACCCACCCCTCCCCACCTATGTTGTTGCCATCTCTCCCCTTACCTTCTCTGCTTGTCTCCGGGTACCCCCTGCGGCGACATTGGTGAGTTGCCACGTCCAGCAGGCCACGTCAGCAGGACACGTCAACAGTACCACGTCAGCAGCAAGGGATACCACATCAGCAAGCCCCGGCCTGGTCTATGCTATTGCGGTCTCATACAGCAGTCATGGACCAGCGGCCCGGAGAAGCAGACGAGACCTATCAGGCCCGCATGTTGGCCTGGAGTACTGAGACAAAGAAACTGGCAGATGACGCTGCCGCAGCAGCAAAGAAGAAGGCAGAGGATGCAGAGCAGGCACGTCTTCTGGCAATTGAACAACAGCGCCAGCATGACGAGGCAGCAGCAAGGGCTGTCGATGAAGAGAGACACCAACGTCGTGAGAAGATCTTTACCAGAGAGCAAGCGTTACTAACAATGGCAGCGGAATGGCGGACCGAGGCCGAGAATAGCCAGTTGGAGGATAGCGCAAACAAGATAGCGCTCCTCCTCTCGCATCTCACAGACCTCCTAGCAACCTGCATTACACAGCAGGAGGAGATCCACGGTCTCGACAACTTGCTAGCTCGTGTCCAAGACCGCCTTCAGCGGTTGGAGCAACGACTAGTCGCCGCAGCCGACGCCAACTCTTCCAACACTTCCGACCGCCTCAACGCATTGGAGATGGACGTTGGCTCACTCAAGGATGGCGTGCAATTGCAGCAGACCGCGACACAACAGTTGCAACAACGGATCTGCACTACTGCCAACACCTCGAGTTCGGAACCGCGCGAGACAGCTCCAAAGTTCGATGGGCAGGAGATCTTTTGCGACTCAATGAAGACAGATCCGGTTCCATGGTTTCACAAGTTCGAGCTCACGCTGCAGCTCCACAACGTCAAGGAACACAAGGACCACGCATACTTGTACTCTCGCTCAGGGGGCGAGTGTCAGGCTTGGTTGGACAACCTGTTGTCCAAGTACGGAGTGGTAGCCAACGACTTGCACACCAAGATCAGTTGGGATGATCTGAAGGCGGCGTGGGACAAGCGGTTCCAGGTGGAGCCGCCAGAGATCAAAGCCATGGACAAGCTCATGGTCTTCGAGCAAGGCACGCTGCCGAGTACGGACTGGATCGTCGAGTACCAACGCTTGACGTCAGTCCCAGACATCCAAATGGGCTTCAAGACCATCCGCCACTACTTCATCTCAAGGTCATGTCCGACATTAAGCAATGCCCTGACTCATGTCGAGGACACCTTGACGACGACGGCGGCGGAACTGCTTGACACGGCCGCGCAAATCATCATCACGAACAAGGAGGCCAAGAACCTCCGTTCATTTGCGTCAGGCCCGAGCAGGGACCAGCATCGACCAAGAGTGGCCGTGGTCGCAGCGGCAACGCCGTTGGACCAAACCAGCGAGGCTGTGTCTTCAGTGAAGTGGACAGACTCGCAGCCGCCTGGGAAGGTGGCCGCCCCGGCAGAGGCCGAGGACGCGGCAAGACGAAGACACACACCGCATCTAGCCCCGGGCCCGGTGCAGCAGCTCAGACAGGCCCATGGTCCCAATATGGCATCTCCGAGTCAGCATTCAAAGCGCGCGAGAGATTCCACTATTGCCTTTGGTGCAACAACGATCTTCATCAGACGCAGGGTTGCCCATTAAAAGGCAAGGGCAGACAGGGAAACTGAGCACTGCCGAGAGTGACTCGACGATACGCTTGACGCCTTCGGAACCGGTTTCTTCGAGAGTAACCGGCCTTCATTCCAAGGCGCACGCGGAAGTCGATAGTCCTCCTCTTCTACTTTCTTTTGAGGACTATGCTGCCCGGCTCGTTCCTATGCTGGGTACTCAAGCTCAAGGACAAGGAGTGTGTGCGGTTTCTTCTCCGTCCAGCAACGGCGACATATCGTCTTCAAGTGATTCATCACGGGACTCGGCACGCGAGTTCAACATAGAGGCATTGGACCCGCTCATGTCTGAGGACTTTGCATGGCTTCCTCTCCCGACCACAGGCCGCTTGCCGGGACCGCAATGCGCAACACTTAGCGCTAATCTTCACACTTACTTATCCTTCTATGCACCACCAACTTCGCCAAGGGATGACGAAGTCGCGGTGGGGGACATCCTGGCGTGTACTACCAAGGTGGCCCGCGAGTTTCGCACGCAGCGGTACGATGACAACAACGCACCGCTCATGTATGTCCGCATTCAGGTTGGGCAAGCGTCCTGCAGCGCTTTGCTGGATAGCGGCGCGTCTCGCAATTTCATGAGCCAATCCTTTATGCAAAGGGCTGGCCTTGGCGCACAAGTTTGGAGGAAGGCAAACCCGACGGCGATCAAGTTGGCGGATGGAAAGACGCAACAACTTCTCGACCGTTACATCGAGGCCGTACCGGTCTACTTCGCACCTCATGCATGCGAACCGGTGACATTCAATATTCTCGACACGGACTTCGACATCATTCTGGGAATGCCTTGGCTTGCAAGTGCGGATCACACGGTCAACTTCCATCGGCGGACTCTTAGCGTTCGCGACGCCTTCGGCGCGGAGGTGGCGTGTACTATTCCTCTACCGCACACTTCGATCCGGTGCCAAGTGGTGACGGCCAAATCATTCCGGGCGACTTGCGCTTACGAGCAGCCCGAGGARATCGGCCTATGTTTCCTACGGACCGTCGCGGTAGCCGACTCTTCACCCACRGACTTGTCTTCGGACCCCCGTGTGGTGCGGTTGCTGGACGAGTTCGCCGACATCTTCGAGTCACCTACYGGTGTGGTGCCGGATCGGCCGMTCTCTCACGAGATCATTCTTGAGSCCGGTGCCGTGCCGCCGAAAGGTTGCATCTATCGGATRAGCGAGGAGGAACTTGARGTCCTCCGCGCACAACTCGATGATTTGCTGGCCAAGGGCTGGATCCGCCCTAGCAGCTCCCCATATGGAGCACCAGTTCTCTTCGTCAGGAAGAAGAACAAGGATCTACGATTGTGTATTGACTACCGCAAGCTCAACGCGCAAACCGTCAAGAATGCGGGGCCTCTTCCTCGCATCGACGATCTTCTTGAGCGATTGGGCGGCGCAAAATATTTTTCTAAGTTGGATTTGAAATCGGGATATCATCAAATCTCGATCCAGCCAAACGATCGCTACAAGACGCGGTACGGGCATTTTGAGTGGGTGGTCATGCCTTTTGGCCTCACCAACGCCCCGACGACGTTCCAGGCGGCAATGACCAATGAATTCCGTGCAATGTTGGACCGGTTCGTGCTGGTCTACTTAGATGATATTCTCGTCTATAGCCGGTCATTGGAGGATCATCTTGGGCATCTTCGACGAGTGTTGGAGACGCTCCGCCGCACCAAGTACAAGGCCAACCGCGACAAGTGTGAATTTGTCCAGCAGGAGCTGGAATACTTTGGCCATTTTGTCACACCGGAGGGCATCAGTCCGCTATCGGACAAGATTCAGGCCGTCCAGGAGTGGCCGGAGCCTCAGAACGTCACGGATGTCCGCTCGTTCCTCGGTCTTACCGGCTACTATCAGCGCTTCATCAAAGGCTACTCCAAGATCGCGGCCCACTTGAACAAGCTTCAATGCGAGGATCAACCGTTTGACTTCGGAGAGGAGGCGCGGGGATCATTCTTCGCTCTCAAAGCCGCGCTATTGTCTGCGGAGGTCTTGCGGATATACGACCCGCTCTCGCTTACGCGCGTCACTACGGATGCGTCAGGCTATGGCATTGGTGCAGTCCTCGAGCAACATGATGGTGTGAACTGGCACCCGGTCGAGTACTTCAGCAAGAAAGTGCCCATTGTGCATTCCATTGACGATGCACGCAAGAAGGAGTTCCTCGCCTTCGTCCACGCGCTCAAGCGGTGGCGGCACTTCGTCCTTGGTCGAAGCCAATTTCGCTGGGTAACGGACAACAATCCATTGGTCTTCTACAAGACCCAAGACACCGTCAACAGCACCATCGCTCGATGGATGGCTTTCATCGACCAGTTCGACTTCTTTCCCGATCACATTCCCGGGAAGTCAAACCGTTTTGCGGATGCTCTTTCACGGCGTCCGGATCATTGTACCACGGTCTACTCAACCTTCGAGATCGACGACGACCTGCGAAATAGCTTCATCCGCGGCTACCAAGCCG